TAATATTCCTTTATTATTGTAATATATTGCAGTTTACTGTCAACAATTGCATTGACAATATGGTCTCTTTCAGCACACATACAAACCTAACACTGGGAGTAACTTCTGCAACAGCTCCTATAGTCTCATGGTGAACACTTTGGGCTTTCATGTAGGAGATTGGGGTTCAATCCCAGCTATAAACAAAATATTTCATTAAAACTACATATTTTCTGATTGTCATATTCTCACACATTTACCCTCATTACAACCAACTGCTGATATGGCAGGCACAAGCTGGTACTTGATTAGCAAACACATTTCAACTTGGTCACAGTTCAAGCTGCAGGCAAAGCCATGCTACAAGGCAATGCACACTTGTTTTGACATGGTGAAAACCCATATCTAGTATAATATTGATATTTGGTGTGGTTGTAGCTGAGAGCCGTTGTGACGTCACATGACTCACATGTGTTTTGTGTTTTTGGCTGCCTGCACCTGTCTCTTCCAGAGCCCTCAGAGACCTGAACAGAAACAAAACAACCGTCAAGAAGCTCTCACTTTGGAAAAGGTTCTGTTTTATAACTACCTCTCTTTGTTTCCGAATGAATTTTGCGTCARTTAATCATCGCCTGCTGTTCTGTGGTGTTCAGGCTCGTCTGGAGGTCCATCGCTTTGGGATCACCGGCTACAAGAAGGAGCAGCAGAGAGTTTTCGAGCAGGACAGAGCGATAATGCTGGGAGCCAGGGTGAGAAAACTGATTCACTTTGCATTTCTCTGTTTTTTTTATCAGTTAAAAGTTAACTGTTGTTTAATCAGCCTCCTAAGAAGGATTACGTCAACTACAAGGTCCTGCAGCAGCAGATCAAAGACAAAAAGCAGAAAGAGAAGGAGGAGTTTCAGCCGGTAAGAGCCGCGTCGTTACAGTTTCATTCATTTCTTTGTGCTGGTTGTAACGCGTGTCACTGCTCTGCAGGACAAGAAGAAGAAAAAGAGGAACAATCAAAGGTGGGTTGAGATCTGAAGATGGTTCAGAATCTGTGATGTGGATAAATTATCAAATATTCCTCTGATTCTGTTGGTTTTGGCGTCTAAACAAGGTCCTTTGTTGGATTTTTTTGAGTTATAAGCATTTTTTTTATGTCCAGACACACCCTGTTTTCAGAAGTGTGGGAGTTAGGGGGAGTCGGGGGCTCATTGGTGGGCTCGATGGATAGAGCTTCATCAGAGCTAAACCAGAGGTTCTTAACCTTTGACCTCAGGGCCCAGTTTATTGAACATAAAGTGACACGAAGTCCAGTCAGACTTTACCAATGTACGGATCAAAATGATAATTATTATAAATCTTGGTTTAATTTTTATTTTATGTACATTATAACTAAATTAAATACACTTACTGGTAAATTAAATACAGCTCTACACCCTCAGCAGGGTCCTGGAGGGTGCATGAGAGTTCGCCCAACCGGTCTACATGTGTTTTGTGGACCTGGAGAAGGCGTTCGACCGTGTCCCAAGGGGGTCCTTGTGGGGGTTCTCCAGGAGTATGGGGTACCGGGCCATTTAATACGGGCTGTCAGGTCCTTGTACGACCGGTGTCAGAGTCTGGTCCYCATTGCCGGCAGTAAGTCGGGCTCGTTTCCGGTGAGAGTTGGACTCCGCCAAGGCTGCCCTTTGTCACCGATTCTGTTCATTACTTTCATGGACAGAATTTCTAGGCGCAGCCGAGGTGTTGAGGGGATCCGTTTTGGTGGCCTTAGGATACAAGCGGCCGAAATGAGTTTCCTCCGCAGGG